ATGAGATTAAAGAGATGACAAATTTTCATATCCGTTGACATTTAAAAGAAAATTGGTACGTCTTGATTTAAGGAAAAAAAATATGATCGATTCCAAAATTTTATGGGTACATTGAAATATATCAACGGATAGACGTTAGAAAGAGTAGGTATTTATCTTAAAAGTAACGTATTCAGTCATGGTCAATTATACGTGGCATTTTCAAAAGTGAGGGCAGGTGAGAAATTGAAAATATGCATGACTGAACGAGGTAAAATAAAAAATGAAGAAGACGGAAATAGTTATATGAAAAATGTAGTGCATCAAGAAATTTTTGCACAATGATGTAATTGTAAAAAGAACATAGATGATCATCCAAAAAAAAGTATCAATACCCTCCTTATTATTTAACATAAATATCTCTTCATTTGAAACTGAGCAAAACTGTTCCCACAATGTGTATACTACAATGGGAATAGAATCCAATAAATTTAATTTAATCTAACCGCAAGGAAAAATTGGAAAGAAAACAATAAAATAACTTAATATAATATAATATAATATAATCTAGCGAACGGACTTCGCGCTCGTCGCTAGTAAGGTAATATTCAAAAAAATAGTATTCAAAAAAAATAAGCGAAATCCAATTCCGCATGGCGAAGAAATAATCATCTCATCATAAACCAGAAAAAGACTCTAGACCGGCCAACAACAATAAATAAATTGCTCAAAACAAAAATTAATTCACAATAATAAATTTCACACTCAGTCGTACGTAAAAAGATCCAAGAAAACAATGATAATAATACGAGCTCTAGCTAGAGTAAAAGCCTCAAGTCGAATAGGAAAAATCTTAACCCCAAAGGGAATTAACCTACTCAAAACAAACCTCCTCAAACAGACAGAAGGTCCCATTATTCTCTCAATACCTAATCCTCACGCTCAAATTAATTCCATTCCCTATTATCTAGCTTAAAGTGCGGTCTCGGAAGGTCCGCATCCCGCCGAGATTTCTCCGAATAAATCCGCATTTACGGGCATTAAAAATTAAATTCCCAACCTTTATCCGGCATTTCACTCGCACAAAAAAACAAAGATCCGGGTCTCAAGATAGCCTCGCATGTTCGATTCGCAAGTTCCGATTTTATTCCCGCCTAACCGAAAACGCTCGTGGTGGACCTCTCGGGATCACAGCGCACACAGAACAAAAACGTCCACCGAAAACGAACGGCTCTTATGCCGTCGAGACCAGCAAATTAACCGAACATATCCCGCGTTAGCCGAAAAACCACGTGTTATGCCATTCTGCTGGCATCACAATGAATAGGAAAAAAAAATCGTTTAGCTCCGTTCCCGCATGAGAGAGACGGCACACAATAAACAATGCAACTAATTTAAACATTCGTGACAATCCGAAATGAGGAAAAAGACGCATAATCACCTGAAAAACCCATCACCAAAAAACCGAGTGCAAACTCACTTGTGGCCGATACGCCACGTGTTGTTGGACGACTCGACAAACAAAACTCGAAAACTGCTCCGAATTAATTCGCGATTCTAAGGGACCTCCTTACGTACTCACGCATCGATTTTATTCCTGACGTTCTGTGGATCTTGATGTCCCTAAGGAATTTCCCCAGAATTCCTTACAACTTACGAAAATATTAATAACGTTACCTGTTTCGATATTCGAATCGATACGCAAAATAAATCCTCCGGTGATACAAAAATAAGCTCGTGAATTAATATTTACATCCGCAGAGAAGAAAACGTCGCTGAATAGAAAATATAGCGATAAGTGCCAGATTTCAGGTCATTCTGTACATCAATTCAAGTATTGAAATAAGCAACAATGGAAATATCAATTTCGCTAACGAATGAGATGCTGAATGTGACTCGTTAGTCCATCCATATTTGTTTGGATACTTGAACTTGGACGCGGAAAAAACTGCCTATGATACATTACTGAACGCGTTAATTCAGTATCAATATACTTAGATTGAGATTGAGAAAGTATGTTTTTAAGTAAAAATTCGAGTATCAAAAATATTTACACTCATGTATCACAGGAAGTTTTAGTCTGCATATTGATTCAAGTATTGAAACAGATAGCGATGGCAGTTTCATTCTGCGCATCGATTCAAACCGAAATTGATATTAGCATTATTACTTATTTCGATACTTGAATCGATACACAGAATCACCTGGAATACGTAACAATGCGAATATTAATATTAGTTCGAATCGACGTGCAGAATAAATAAACTTCCTGTGATACATGATTGACAGTATATTTTGATACTTGATTCGTTACTTAACAATATACTTTCTCAATTTCAATCCAAGTATCAATTCACGAGTCAAGTTATGTATCCCAGAAAGTTTTATTCTGGGTATCGATTGAAGTATTGAAACAAGTCACAATACTGAATGAAGTTGGTATTTGTATTGTCAATTATCTTAATACTTGAACCGATACTCAGAATGACCGAAAATCTGGTACTTTGATGTCAATCTTTCAATCCTAATTCGCGAGTTGATCCATGCATTACAATTAGTAAAAGTCATATCAGTAAATTGTTTCTTTGAAGAGATATTCACAAAAATTATGTCTAACTTAAATTCAACAACTGGAAATAGCTATTAAGAATAGCTATTTCTATTTCTATCTCTATTTATCCATTCTATTTTGATGTGTCCGGCGTTTTACGGACAGTGCGATAAAAAATTTATATAACAGAGAAATGTTGATGGACTCGTAACTCGTACAGAATTGACTCCGCCGCAAAGGATGTCTTTTGACATTTTTTTCCGAATCTGATCCTCTGAGATATTTGCAAATATGAGAATTCAATAATCGTCCGTCGAGAATTTTTCTACCCCGTATGATTGCGCAACACACGTTCGACTGGACCCCATACTCGCCAGAGACGTTTCTCACAGTTTAGTACAGGGTGTCCAATGGGATGTTGCTGAAACTAAGCAGCCATCATTTCTCACTTTATAGAGATAATGGAAAAAGTAAAACGGCTAATAATAGAGGAAACATGGCAGTTTTTATTCATGGATTCTTCGATGATAATGGGTGATACTTAGGTACTAATATTTCGATTCAAATAATTAGCCATTTTAATGACACATAGTTTCGAAGTGTCCACCATCGCTATTGGAACAACAATCAATCCTTTTTCGAAAACTGTACAAAATATCCTTCAAAGTTTCAGGCGGAATACCATTAACCACTTTTCTGATGGCGTTAACCAACTCTTCCTTCGTTGCGGGCTTTCTTGCATAACAGTGATCTTTAATGTATCCCCACAAGAAAAAGTCACATGGGTTCAAGTCCGGGGAGTAGGGGAGCCATTCCATTCCTCCTTGAGCGAATTTGGGTTATCCCAAGCCTATGACACGATTCCCATAGACCTGGTGGATAGCCTCGAAAACTTCTCTCGTACGGTGTGGCGTCGCCCCGTCTTGCATAAAATGAAAATTCTTTATCAGCCCCCGTTTACGTGCAAAGGGGAACAACTTCTTCTCCAACAGCTCTTTATACCTCCCTTCAGTAACAGTAGATTCAAAAAACTGCAGGTATATACGCTTCACTGACAGAGCTGCGCACGCAGTCACCTTTTCTGCATGGAGAGGCTTCGCTAATACAATGTTTGGTTTTTCTGACCACCAAAAATGAGAATTCTGTTCATTGGCGTACCCATTCAACCAGAAATGTGCTTCGTCGGAGAAAATAATCTGATCTTCATGAATTTCTCATGCAAAATTTCACACTTTCTTCCATTGCACTGCCGCTTAATAATTGATGGGTAGTTATTTTGTACGGACGCAGTTTCAAAAACTTTTGCACAATCTGATACAGTGAAGATTTGCCAATTCCCAGTGCTAAAGCTGCTTTTCTGATCGAAGTCTCTGGATTTTTCTTAAAATACTCCTCCACTCTGGCTACTGTTTCTTCCGTCGTTACCATATATCACGGACCTGGAGCATCATGCCTCCGGTCTCCAAGTGTCCCATACTGTACGAAATTGCCAATTACTCTGTAAGAATAGCACGTTTTAGGAGGATGATAATGTTGACACAAAATAGACACTATGTATAATTGAGGTTAATTTTCGTTTTCATACCTTTTAAGAGTGTTTTCACTAGGGATGGGCGATTGTGAAAATAAAAATCGATTATCAAACCATCGATGTTTATGAAACAAACGATGTTGACAATCGATTAAAAAGAAAAAAATATCGATTATTGAAATAATTGATGTTTTTCTCGTAATTCCTACAAATAAATTGTTTATTCAGAAAAAAAATCTTTATTAAAAAGAACTGGACAACCAATTATTGTTCCATTTCACATCCTTTGTGCTACTGTGTTTGATCCAATATGAATAATCAGCTTTCCATATCTGATGCTGAACTCCATTGGATCTCCCTGAAATTTCTGGAAACATATTTGACATTAGTTTTTGAGGCATTGCAGAGATTTTGAGATAATTAAATGTGAGAAAAGGAGATTATGGATCGATAGTTTAATAATACGTCAGTTTATAGTATTACATTTACGTACAGACAGATGCAGTTTTGGATATTTCAAATATCCAGAAAAAAATACAACTGGTTCTCTTATACTATTCTGAACATAACGAGTTGAGCTCAACATAACGAGTCGAGCTGAACATAACGAGGATACATTGGATGCTATCTGCAAGAACAAATTCCTCGAGTCTGTAAAATCTTGTATGACATAACATATATAAAAATACTGTGCGCGAATTTTTTCTATCGCTGGGAAACGTGGATGAAAACAGATAGTTTCACTAAGTGGAGTAGTTTCATAGAAATATCAGTACTGCATGCTTAGACTATAAAAATTCAAGTACTTTGGTATTGAAACCTTAAATGTCTACCCTAGTCACTTCATTTCACAGCCATATATTGAAAATTTTCAACATATCAACATCAGACTCAGTAAAACTCCAATAATCTTAATTTTCAGTTCCACCCTTAGATACCCTATTCTTCGCGCGTTAGACTACCTAGGAAGAGCAGCTTATTCAAATTCTCACCAGTTAACCTCGAGCGATCATCGTCCTTAATTTTACCAGCCTTGGAGAAAAGTCTTTCAGAGGGGACTGAGGTTGTGATAATGCTCAGCCATTTTATTGCTATGGAGTAGAGCGTGGGATACGCTGGTTTCAATTTCTCCCAATACTCGAAAGGATGATCATGGCGAGAGATCACTGGGAGCTTCAAAAACTGGCGTAACTCTGAGTGATAACCTCCCTCCTCTTCTTCAGGAACTTGACGTTTCACCAATTCATCATGTAAGTCCCAGATACCTAGCACGTCTTTCGGGACCTCCTCCTCCGTTGACTTTTCTCTCTTATCACCATCGTTCTCCTTTAAGCTTTCTTTCAGCATTTTATCAATACTTTCGAGATGATTTGCAGCCGCCAGGGGCTTCGTGAACGGTATTTTCTTAAATCGTGGATCCAATACAGTCGCTTTTCCCAATACTTCATGGAACTCATATTTTCCGACTGCCTCATCTAGACGTTGAGTAAGTGCTGTCTGAAACTCCTTTCCTAATTTGGTACCAGGAGAAGCCCTGGCGATGCTATTGAACATTTCACGAATCAGCGGAATCACCAAAGTGGCAGTGGCATAGGTGCTACCACTGATAATTCCAATGGCATTTTCGACAGGTTCCATTAGACGAACAAGATCGTTCAGGATGAGGATCTCTTCTCTAGTCAACATATTTGGTGTATTTTTACACTTCATCATTACTGGATACACATATTCCTCGAGTTCCAAAAATCTTCTTATCATGGTCAACGTATAGTTCCATCTCGTGGGGACGTCCATTATAAATTTGAGAGGTACCTTTCCATCGCGTTGTTGCAGGCGGAGGAGTTCATCAGTTGCTACTGTACTATGTCTGGTGAGAGCAACGATGTGCTTCACTTTACTGATGATTTCCTTCAACTGATCAAATGATGCCAACGTTTTTGGTATCAAATGTGATATAATATGAGCAAAACATGCCAGTTGTCGTAGAGATCCAATGAGTTCTTTCACTGCACCTTTAATATTTGCAGCACTATCACTCACAACTGCCGAGATTTTATTCAAGTCCAAGCCAAAATCTTCGATGACTTTCAGCAGGTTTTCAAGAAGATAGGGTATAGTATGATTACTACTGAGAGGTATGACTCCTAAACTCCCAGATCTCATCTTCAGATTCGATGACAACCAATGTATTGTTACCCCTAGATAGCTTTTATTGCTTACATCGGTCCAATTGTCACATGTCAGTGTGTATGATCCAACTTCTGCCAGAACCTGCTTGAAAGCCTGCTTCAACATCTCGTAACGAGTTTGCATTTTCGTAGTAATTGTCTTTCTGCTTGGTAATGTGTAAAGAGGAGCCACCACCTTCATAAACAGTTTAAAAGCTGCATTTTCCACGAAAGAAAGCGGCAACTTTGCGACACATAGTAAAAATAGCAGAACCATCGTGATTCTGTTGGTGGCATCTCCACCTTCTGAAATAAAGGAATACAAAAATATGAATGAAGGAAAATAAATAAAAATAAAATAAATAGTGTCAATAGTCCATATAGAAGATCGAAGAATACAAAAAAGTTAAATTACAAACCTGTATGTTGCATTATTTGTGAAAATGTATTCGTGATCGTGGGGGGATTACTTTCAGTCGAAGATTTACGTCTTTTCGTCGAGGGCTGCTCTTCAGGGTCATCAGGAAATGGACCGCCTTTACGTTTCTTGAGAATAGGGGGTGGTACATATTGCCAATGTATTGATTGGAGATGCTGCCTCATATTAGTCGTATTCCCATCGTGCTATATTTTTTACCACAGTGCTTACATGTTGCACTTGATGCATCGTTTCTTTCGAAATGCTGCCAAACGATACTGGGTTGTTTCCTAAATGAAGAAACCACAAAACTTATGAGTAAATTAGCAAAAAACTATATCTCGGTTGGATTTGGAGAAACGCAACCAAAACTATTAAGTCTAAATCCGCAAAATTAATTATAGGAATACCCTTTTCGAATTCCATATTTGTAGGAAGATGAAGGTGCTGGACAATCTCCAAAGCTGGCTGTAGAAGTGGATGCAGAAGTGAATTTCTCATCAGGTCTCTTGGTAGTATTAGCTATGTAAGAATTGTTTTAGATTCTCGTGTATAAATCATGAATATTAATGATGATAATTGTTGCTCAAAACAGTTGAGCAAAATACAAATAGACTACTACATACATCGTTTGACTGGATCGCTGTCATCACTAGCACATTTCAATTGTTGAAGTTTCGTTTTATAATCCTTCGACATTTTTGAACTTTGCTGTTTAGTATTACTGAAGTTGTCAGGAGGTTCAGTGGGTGGGTTGCTTGATACAGAGACCCCTTCAGATAAGTTGTTCTGGGATGTACGAAAAGGACCTGTTTGCGTGGGAACTAATCCAACCTCTTCATCTTCTAAGTTCTGAACTGTGTAATTACACAGTTCACGACTAAAAATTGACATATTTTTGAAGTTTTAATACATTTTCTTGAAAATAATGACCTTCATTTAGAATGAGAGTCCTTATTTCCAAGATGATGATCAAATAAAATAAACACCATTCAACTCACAAGTTTATGCCTCCATCAGTACTCATGCGGAGATTGTCGATTCTTCCACTATCATCCAGAGGAATTTCTCCTGTCCCGATTCGTTCCACATAAACCTTCTCCGCCTCCTGCTTATCGTTTGTGAAAAAATTTCAAATAATTTTTTTTCCTTTTTTTACTATTAAATTATGAGCAAATCCATTTTTGCGACCTCGTATGGCTCTCCTTAATTCAACACGATGAAAACAGAGAATACTCTCTCAGAAGATCCTCCTGGAAATGAAAACATTCAGTGGTGGAGCTGTTGGAGATATTTCTAGGTTAGGTTCCCCGGTAGATGAAACGAAACGTTAATTGAAACGTTCAGTTTCTTCTTGAGTTCCTCAGAATATCAACGACTTACCAGCCCTCACACACTCCATGGTGTGATAATTGAGTTGTTTTGATTTCAACGATAATGACTTGAGTCAAGTCAGTAAGTCACTTTATGCAAATGAATCTTGCACGCTGCACCGGGCACCGGCTCATTCCGGAGATCTTGGAATTGCAGTGTTACCACAGTTACCATTGCCAGTCGTTTTCAGTAATTGGCGGCAGTGAATTTGAAATTAAACGTTACGTTACGCATTTTTAATACTCACCTGTTTTCACTTTTTTTTTTTAGGAATTCTTAATTTTTCATCTATTCTCACATGAACAAAACATATTCGCAAGAATAACAAACATCAATGGTTGGAAAAAAATATCGATTATCGATTAATCGGAAGTTGAAAACATCGAATAAAAAACATCGATTTTTTTACAAAAAACATCGATGTTTTCGATTAATCGATAAACATCGCCCATCCTTAGTTTTCACTAGAAGCTCTATGCGTTCCATATTTGGTACGGAACCCTCTATATGCGTTGACATACACTTCGCGTCTAGAATAGAAGCACTTGATAAGATATACCTTTTCTTCAGTTGTGAGATCACTCATTGTGGATGTGATAGTAGGCCTCAGCTGAGATATTTTTAAAACACTTTTTACTCAGTTTTAACGTTTATTAATATATTTATTCATATCATTAAGTAGCGTACAAATCTTTGACACATGTCGTGCAGCCATCTTGGAAAATACTGACTAAAGGCGCGAAATGCGCGTGGGAACTAGACAGACTCTCAAACGTCAGTAAACAAAATTATTAGAACTCAAAACTCCCTAGATCAATTGTTAACAATCTCCCACCTTGAGTTCATGTCAGAAGGACTTGACTCAAAAAAACAAAAAGGCAAAAAACTAATGATGAATAAAAAAAAAACATTTAGTATCAAAAATAGACTTTTCTCAATCTAGAAGTCTCTTGGGTTTGTGCACAACACGACCACGCCTAGTCGTGATCTCGACGTTCTCCTTTGGCTGATACTCAGTCAGGAGATCAGAATCTCCAAGCTCCTTCTCCACAGTAGACAAACCGACAGGATCATGTGGGGTTGATCCCCCATATGTCTTGACCTTGTTTCTCGCAGCTGCGAGCGAGGTTCGATCAGCAATGAAGTGGACAGCCTCAACTGGTGACATTTCCACCGGGTAGAGTCTCTGAACTGGACGTACCATGTACCTATCCCCTGTTTTGACCTTCACAACTCGTACCTCACCATCTTTTCCTGGGAATAATTGGACGACACGCCCCATGGGCCAGTCCACTCTCTTCTTGTTGTCGTTCCCAACGAAAACCAAATCTCCCTCAGCCACCGGCACTGCCGGTGCCTTTGGACCCTTTGCTCGAGTCAATTGTCCCAAATACTCCACACGGAAACGTTGTCTCAATTCTTGTCGCAATCGTTGTCTGTATTTGACTCGCTTATTCAATGCTGTGGTGTCCACTTTATCCAAATCAGGTACACTATATTCCCTCAGATCTCGTAAAAACATCAGGGGACAAGGGAATCACTTGTTGTGTGTCCTCAACCAGGTAGGTCAGAGGGCGAGCGTTAATAACGGCTTCACAGTCACAAAGAGTTGTGGAGAGTTCTTCGTACGCCAGACAGGCTTTTCCCAGTGTTCTTCTCAACAATTCCTTGACCATACATACGAGTCTCTCCCACCATCCTCTCCACCATGCTGCAAGAGGAGGGCTGAACCTGCATTCTATTCGACTGGAGACCTCTTGCTTCACAATCGCGTCCCAGTCCAGTCCACGTAAGGCATTGAATGCCCCCACAAAATTCGTCCCATTGTCACAATAAATAGTAACAGGACTTCCTCTTCGTGCAATAAATCTCCTCAGGGCTTCAAGAAATGCATCGGTTGACAGGGATTTCACTAGCTCTAGATGTATTGCACTGTATACAGCACACGTGAATAATACCACCCAGCTCTTCTCACCTTCTGTCAAGAAAAGAGGCCCTGCTAGGTCCACACCAGTTACTTCAAAAGCAGCAGCATCTCCTACTCTGTTCTCAGGCAAAGGTATGGGATTGGGTTCGAGTCTTTTTGCAGTGAAACGTCGACAAATGACACACTTTCTTACGACAGATTGCACCACACTTCTACTCGACAGAATGCAGAACTGTTCCCTCAGTTTATTCATCACAACATCAATCGATCCATGATGTAGAGTCAGGTGATAGACATGAATCAATTTCTCAACTAATACCCATTAGTGATGCTGGTCCAGGACGATTGGACAACGTAACCCCAAGGAGTCTTCTCTATATGTGACAGGTGTTTTCAGACGGAGGAGACCCATCTCGTCCTTCAACACTATCATACCTGACAGCCGGTGGTCTCCCTCTCCATCAAAACACTGTGATTGTGTCACTCTCAGGGCAACTTGCTCAGCCTTAGCTATCTCTGAAACACTTAGACGTCCTTTGTTCCATACGAATGTGGCCCATGGTTTGTCACGCTGGATCCATGCAAGAACCGTTGAGGAATCAGTCCAATAGTATAACTCTGATTGTTTATCAGTGAGAGCAGAGACCACCGAATCCATGAGACGTGCTCCCACCGTTGCTCCCAACAATTCAAGCCGTGGTATTGTTGTTGGGTCTTTCGGTGCTACTCTGGACTTAGCAATCACGACCTGGACGTCAACCTCGTCATGTAATTCCACTCTCGCATAAATGACTGAGGCATAAGCCGTATTGCTTGCATCTACGAATGCGTGCAGAGAGATTGAGGCTTCAGCTATCCCCGCACCGAAAATCCACCGTGGAATAGACAGTTCTCTGAGGCAGTTGAGCTGTTCCTTCCAAGAAGCGAAGGAATCTCTCGTATCAACATCGACCTCTGTGTCCCAACCTAATTGCTTATCCCAAAGCCTCTGCAACAATAATTTGGGATAAATTAGTACTGGACAGATCATACCTAACGGATCGAACAGCTTCTGTGCAGTGGAGAGGATTATTCTCTTCGTCACCAACTCTGGTTGCTCTTCTTGGAGGACGGTGTAGACTAATAACAGGGTGTCATTGACCCAATTCTATCGTAGACCCAATACGGAGGACTCTGCTTTCACTCCACTCATACCAGAGTGTTCACAATTGCATAAGTCAAAGCCACCTGCTTTGAGGGTCCTGGTAGCCACTTCTTGGAATTTCTCAGCACACTGTAGGGAGTCCACGCTGGTTATGCAATTGTCTACGTAGAAGGATTGCTTCAACTGGCGGAGAAGCTCCCCATCACTCTCGCTATCTTGATTGACAATTCCTGTGTCCAGGTGTAGGTCTAGGGTGGCCCCTAGTACGAATAGGCTACTGGAGACACCAAACACTACTCTTCGATGACGGAACACCTGGTACTCACTCTGCTCTGGGGATTCTTTCCACAAGAACCTCAAGTTTTCTCGATCTTCAGCCCTGATGCTGATCTGAAGAAATGCCTTGCGAATATCAGCAATCACCCCTATTCTTCTTTCTCGAAATCTCATTAGCAAGTGAGGAATGAGTTCAATTAGATTTGGCACTGTCCCTAGACAATCATTCAACGGAGGTCCAAGTTTAGTTTTCGCTGATGCATCGAAAACTGGACGAATTCTCGTGGTGCTGTTCTCTTTTATAACAGGTCGGTGAGGAAGGTAATAGCCGTCCTTTGCTAGCTCATGATTAGGGACTTTCTCAATTATTCCTCCTTCCAACCAGTTGTCAAAAACTTCCTGATAGTCTGAGAGAAGATCTTTGGACTCCAACCCATTCAACACCTTTGTCAGTCTCTTTTCGGCCATGTATCGGTTGTCTGTCAAGGGTGGATGTGTCTCATACCGTCCTTCTTCGTTGACAATCGTAGTTTGGAGGAATTTGTCAAGAACTTCTCTTACCGACTCAAAGTCACAAAGTCAAAGCCACCTGCTTTGAGGGTCCTGGTAGCCACTTCTTGGAATTTCTCTGCACACTGTAGGGAGTCCACGCTGGTTATGCAATTGTCTACGTAGAAGGATTGCTTCAACTGGCGGAGAAGCTCCCCATCTCTCTCGCTATCTTGATTGACAATTCCTGTGTCCAGGTGTAGGTCTAGGGTGGCCCCTAGTACGAATAGGCTACTGGAGATACCAAACACTACTCTTCGATGACGGAACACCTGGTACTCACTCTGCTCTGGGGATTCTTTCCACAAGAACCTCAAGTTGTCTCGATCTTCAGCCTTGATGCTGATCTGAAGAAATGCCTTGCGAATAGCAGCAATCACCCCTATTCTTCTTTCTCGAAATCTCATTAGCAAGTGAGGAATGAGTTCAATTAGATTTGGCCCTGTCCCTAGACAATCATTCAACGGAGGTCCAAGTTTAGTTTTCGCTGATGCATCGAAAACTGGACGAATTCTCGTGGTGCTGTTCTCTTTTATAACAGGTCGGTGAGGAAGGTAATAGCCGTCCTTTGCTAGCTCATGATTAGGGACTTTCTCAATTATTCCTCCTTCCAACCAGTTGTCAAAAACTTCCTGATAGTCTGAGAGAAGATCTTTGGACTCCAACCCATTCAACACCTTTGTCAGTCTCTTTTCGGCCATGTATCGGTTGTCTGTCAAGGGTGGATGTGTCTCATACCGTCCTTCTTCGTTGACAATCGTAGTTTGGAGGAATTTGTCAAGAACTTCTCTTACCGACTCAAAGTCACAAAGTCAAAGCCACCTGCTTTGAGGGTCCTGGTAGCCACTTCTTGGAATTTCTCTGCACACTGTAGGGAGTCCACGCTGGTTATGCAATTGTCTACGTAGAAGGATTGCTTCAACTGGCGGAGAAGCTCCCCATCTCTCTCGCTATCTTGATTGACAATTCCTGTGTCCAGGTGTAGGTCTAGGGTGGCCCCTAGTACGAATAGGCTACTGGAGATACCAAACACTACTCTTCGATGACGGAACACCTGGTACTCACTCTGCTCTGGGGATTCTTTCCACAAGAACCTCAAGTTGTCTCGATCTTCAGCCTTGATGCTGATCTGAAGAAATGCCTTGCGAATAGCAGCAATCACCCCTATTCTTCTTTCTCGAAATCTCATTAGCAAGTGAGGAATGAGTTCAATTAGATTTGGCCCTGTCCCTAGACAATCATTCAACGAAGGTCCAAGTTTAGTTTTCGCTGATGCATCGAAAACTGGACGAATTCTCGTGGTGCTATTCTCTTTTATGACAGGTCGATGAGGAAGGTAATAGCCGTCCTTTGCTAGCTCATGATTAGGGACTTTCTCAATTATTCCTTCTTCCAACCAGTTGTCAAAAACTTCCTGATAGTCTGAGAGAAGATCTTTGGACTCCAACCCATTCAATACCTTTGTCAGTCTCTTTTCGGCCATGTATCGGTTGTCTGTCAAGGGTGGATGTGTCTCCTTCCAGGGCAGCAGTGTCTCATACCGTCCTTCTTCGTTGACAATCGTAGTTTGGAGGAATTTGTCAAGAACTTCTCGTTGATTTATTTCCTTGGTTTTCTGTTCAACTGGGTCTGTGATTCCCAGGACATCAAGAGTCCACAGATCTGACACGTTGGCTTCTCGAGAAAACATGGAGATAGTCAACAACGCTGGGTCAGTCATTTCTGTGTGTTGCTAGGTCTTTCCCAGGAGTGTCCAACTCAGGAGAGTGCCAACTGCTGTGAGGCCAGACTGGAGATCCAACACTTCGCCTGTATACAACTTTCCAGCTACATCAGCACCGATCAGAAGAGCAATAGGGAGGGGATCTTCTCCTACGTCACTCAATGTCACTGATTTACTACGCAATTCTTCAACCCATGGACCACTGTTTATTCTGGGTATCTTGTGGCAGATAGTTGCTTGATCATACGCCACAAAATTGCAAGCAAAACTATCGTCGAGACTTCTCAGGTGAATTTTGTAGGTGTTGTGCTGTTGGGGCTGAGTACGAGATCCGCCGAAGAGCGAATGAGTCATTGTTTTGCTCTCCAAGTTCTCGTAATTCATTGACTGTGCTGTAGAGGCTAGAACATACGACGGATGTGATCCAGTGTCTATGATTGATATTGATATTGCTCTCACCACCTGCTCTTTCTTTCCATTGGTGATCTTAACACGTAATGTCTGCAAAAAGACCTCTGGATCTGAGGAAAAATTTGCGAGATTGAGCTCCTTCGTCTCGACTTTGGACTTATCCCCAGGTATGCTAGTGACTTCTTTGTCTCGACACATTAGCAGGACGTGTCGTCGCCCACACCAACCACAATTTTCCTTGAATCTGCATGTCTTGTAACTGTGGTTGATCTTGAGGCAATTGAAGCAGGCGTTCTTCGATTTCACTATCGTTGTCCTTTCAGCAAGTGTCATTCTCCTGGCCTTTTCACAAGCAGCACTATTGTGGTTTTCATCACAGAAGACACACACAGCTGATGTAGAATCTTTCGTGGTGAGGAGGTCAGCAGCTGTTGGTATAGGCTTGTACTCACCCTTTGGTTTCTTCTTGCTCTTCTGGTCCGTACTCTCACTGTTAGTTGGTGGAGAAATACCAAATCCCTGCCTGGCCATGTCGATCCTCTGGTCTGCTTCTACCTCAGCCTCCAAGGAGTCCATGAATCTGTTGAGTCTCTCTTTTGCGTCTGGTATCTGTAGTATGGAGGAGTGACGTTGCCGAGCACGTAGACGCTCCTCTGGCAGTGAAGACTCGACTAATGGATATAACATAGCTGCGCACATGTCTGTGGTAACTCCCAAAGTCTCCAGGGCCCTTAATTGTGTCTTGAGTTGATGGTAGGTACTTGACAACTTCCTAACCTCTGTATTATTTCCTGTGTTGTGAAGGACAAGTTTTAAAAGCTCTCGTACATACGCTTCAACCAGTAATTCCTTTTTACCAAAATAATTACGTAGACTCGCTACAGAATTCTCATAATTCTCGGGTGTGGGTGGGCAACTTTTGATTAATTCTGCAGCTCTGGAACCTTCCACCATGCCCTGTACCAGATCTGTGAATTTCTGCTCTTTGAGAATCTTTGTGCCTTCATGGATTGGCTTCAATAAACCCCACCACTGGAGATAATTCTTGAGTTCACCATCGAATTTGGGAGGCTGAATTTTCGGGACATTATACCGCCTGTCGTCTTGTACAGTATGAATGACTCGAGGAGCTTCTGTTTGAACGTTGGGTACGGATTGGGGAGGGGTTGGAGGTTCGACGAGTTCTTGGACTGCAAACTTCAACTGACGATACTTCATTTTGTACTCATCTTGTTTTTCGAGCTCCCTATTCAACTCCTCGTCCGTAATCTGTTCGTTCTCTTGCATCTCTTGAATAATTTTCGCATTGTATTCATCGAGCTCACTACATTTATCTCGGAAGAGGGCAAAGCTGACTTTCACAACTGCGATGTTAGGTTGCTCTGCCTGCACCTCGTTTAGTGTCGATGTGTGGGTGCATGTGAATGACTGGCGTATAGCCTTGCGTAACTTCTTATACTTTTCCAGGGATGGGGCCATTTTATCCGAAATGTCCTGTCACGGTCGCCAAAATGTGATAGTAGGCCTCAGCTGGGATATTTTTAAAACACTTTGTGACGATCGACTCCAATTTTGACGTATAAATTATTACCTGGAATTATTATGAATGAATGACCTGTTAGGGCGCCAGTTAGTTTTTATTTAATCATGGAGAACCAACAAACTCCGATCAGCTTACTGCGGGAATATCTCAAGGGGGAAGGGGGACGAAACCCCTTACGCACACACTACTTCGAATCAATAACACACAACACCCGAATCACGACAAAAATAAACAATATTTATTCAACTAATATATAGAAAATATTAAAAATGACAAACTAAATTATAATGATATTTCTTTGCTCGATTCAGGGATCAATAACGCCAGCCAATAGCTCGTAAACCCAAAACACAAAAGTAACTTCAATTGATTTTCAAGAATAATAGAAATTGACTCGACGTATTACATAAAATTATTCAGCTCTGACCTTTCTTCTGACGTGAAGCGCTGACCAACTGACTCTACTGACAATTATTGGACTGTGACTGTTAATTTTATCTGAACTAAATAAATTTCTTGACAATGACTACGACATTAACGCTGACGGTGACTGTTAAATGTAAACAAACAAATTTTATAACTGAGACTGTAAATTCTGTGACTGTGACTGGTACTCTGGATCTGATGGTCTGTTCCGCTTGGCATCTGCCGGGTGAGTCTCTCGAGACAACGTGCTCAGACCGGCACGTTCATGGTCTTCGGCTTTCTCCGGCGACTCTCGGCTTTCCGAAGCGACGTGCAAACTCAGCGCCTTCGGACGATCTTGACGGTGACAGCGACTCTACGAATTTCTCGGAACTGCGTGACCAGAGCACTGCCCTCGGTTCCGACTCCTGGCGTTCGGGACTGCGATCTCCATCCTGATGTTCAGGGGTATCCTCCTCCTCGAGGAATACCACCTCGACCTCCGACTCAGATCCTCCTGCATGCATACTCATTGCCATCCTCCTAACCCTGAAGAGTTATTTCTCCAGGGTGATAACAATGGGGATCCTCAGAGCAAGAAAACACGCGGTGAAATTCCCCATAGGCTTCAACCGTAATCGATCTCCATGGTCCCTCCTTGATTTTACCTCAAGGGGGAAGCCCCCGACAGACTCAAGACTCCAAAATATTTAAATGATTTATTAAAGAAATTATTTTAATAATCAGCTGACGACCAGGTCGTCACAACTTTTTACTCAGTTTCAACGTTTATTAATATATTTATTCATATAATCAAGTAGCGTACAAATCTTTGGCACATGTCGTGCAGCCATCTTGGAAAATACTGACTAAAGGCGCGAAATGCGCGTGGAAACTAGACAGACTCTCAAACGTCAGAAAACAAAATTACTAGAACTCAAAACTCCCTAGATCAATTGTTAACAGTGGAGCTCAAATCCCTACTTGGATAGTGGTGTGAATAAATCTGCCATAATCTGCGTATAAGATTACTAACTACAGAGTCTCTACCTGACCGATAAGGGATAAAAGGAGGCGTTGAGTTTCAGCAACATCCCGTTGGATACCCTGTACTAAAACATACTATTTAAACCTTAAATAAATCACTCCTCCAAAATATTAGTATATTTCGAACATTTATTCTGAAAATTCCATAAAAATTACAGAAAAATCTCTATGAACTTTATAACCTGTAATTTTTTCGGACGCTCACTTCACCATTTTCTGGATCGATTAAAATTTTTTGATAGATGGACATTAGGAATCGTAGAATTGACGTATTCTGGAAATATAATGGAAATTTTTATTACAATGCTCCGAACTAAGTTAACTTCACCTCATCATTTCCTGACAAATATCTCGGAATCTGAGAGAGATAGCAAAATTTTCTTGAATACTGTTGTGTATAAAAATATGAAAGCAACACCGCTAGGAATGAAAAAAATGGTATTGATTTCCTATAATGTATAATTTATTTTTTCTGTAAAATAATTTAAACATTATAGGAAACTATTAGTATAAATTATAGGAGATCATCGCAAAACTCATAAAGGATAATTTGGTGGGTTTCAACCGATGAGTCAAGCCACAGGGATCAAATGGCCTAAACGAATATATGCCGATTCCCAAAATATATCATAGCTACGCGCTAAACTTTCATTTGTAATTCATATTTTGGACCCTGGAGAATATAGGGGCTATTCTTAACAAAAAGCCGCTTTTTCCGCAGCTTTTTCGAAGCTACGATTTTCTGCCGCGAGGGGATGACACGAAACTAAATGACACGAATTGATGACTTTGTGAACGCATTTTAACCTTAAATCTGTCAGATTTTTTTGGCATTTGGGAGAGCTATGATAAATCAACTTTATGAAAATTTAAACCAAAATAACCGTGATGATGAAGAAGCCGAGGATCCTCAACGGGGCTTACATAGATTATTCAATGCGCGACGTAGAGCAATTAGAAGTACCTCAAATCCACTGGAGAATTTGCCGGACTCGGTGTTCAATAAATACTACAGGTTCAATTGGTTCATAGGATTTATTTGTTGGCTTTTATTAATGAAAATAATAACAGGGTTAGCAAGGATTTTATACGATGGCTGTGTAAAATTCCACTTTCGCTCCGATACCAAAAATCGAAGCCGAGATATTTAGCAGCATCAATATCAACTCTCAGTGGTCGATAAGCAGTCAATTCTCTTCACTAATTGATTGGTCAAGTATTTATCTCATTTGTAACATGTATTGAAGTGAATTATTAACATTTTACTCCAATATAAATTATAGCTGCTCCAAAATGAAAAAGTACAGATGGAGGGGCATTTGCGCATAATGCGTTCGCAAAGTCATTACTTCGTGTCATTTAGTATCGTGTCGCCCCCTCGCGGCGGAAAATCGCAGCTTCGAAAAAGCGGTGGAAAAAGCGGCTTTTTGTTGAGAAAAGCCAGCGATTATAGGGGAGATCAGCAGGGCCACTGTAAAGTGTTCAACAGCAAAATTCGTAGTGGTGGCGCATGGACTACGATGGAGCGTACGGAACTGTTGGTATGGTAGGGCCCGAGTATAAATTCGTCGATAACCGGAAGTGGGTTCTCAATACAGTAGCTCCTCGCATTTTGTAATAATTGTCAGGAATGTAAAATCGAACATATTATAATCAATTGTATAATGAATGCAGAATCTAATGAGCTAAAAGTCTTTTTCTTTTTCGTGTATTTACCTGAAACCCGGCCCGAATATTTTTTCTACGGAATTGTTGCTACGGCGAAATAACTATCTATTTTGAAGAAATCCCCCGATTCTACTCTCAGCGTTAGATCTTAATCCTTCAAAAATTATTCCATCTCGTCTAATGTCTTAGTAAAAGAATAAAATATTTCAAATTCTGCAGAAAAATGTTTTTTTTAGTGACAATGCAACTCGTTGAACTGCTATTAGACAATTGAATAACTACACACACAAAAAAAAATTAATAATGGAAAAACCTAGTGCTTTCTCTGAAAAGTTCTATTGCATCTCTTCTGGAACTTTATCAGAATTCTATTGGAATTTTATTAGAATTCTATTGAAAAAGGGTTTTTCTTTTTTCCGCAATATTCAATCAAATACCATTCAACTTCCCCATGCGTTTTTAATAGATATTTGTTTACCGAAAAATTGTTATAGATGTTGATTTCTGTACATAATTTATTCTGATAGGATTTTCTCTATGAAAATTTTTGGGTATGGACTTTCTAATTTTTTTTTCTCAGAAGTGATATCAGAAACTGATAAAAAAAGAAAACAGCGGAAAAGACATAAAAATTCAGGCAGACGAATTTCTATCAACTATCTGTTAACAAAATGATATGATAAAGTTACAGGAACTTCTATAGAAATGGCGCAATAAACAAATAGAATTTTCCAATAGAATTTCTTAGAGAAAACGGGGTTTTTCTATGAAATTATTTTATGCGTGCATGCATTTTATCAGTCGATATATGAACCATAATGCGTTAGAAAAAGACACTCTATCGGAAAAATAGAAGCCGGGATATTTTACAGAAAATTGTGGGCCTTACGCATGAATCAATCCAATATAAAAACACTAGGCCATTCCATTGAAATACTCTCTATATAATTCATTTGGCTTAAATTTTCTACGCTTTTTTTGTTTGTTTTACTTAAAGGGCTAAAAGACGAATTGAATGAAGAAAAACTTTGAAAATTCGAGCCAAGAAAATTCTGTAGAAAATTTTCTATTGAACATTTTGAACACCAACAACTTGTAGAAAGTTCTATAGAAATCCATTAGAGTTGTCTAGCGACATCGCTAGCTTTTTCTATTGAATTTTTACATACATGCTAGTTGACCTAGATGTGCAACTAATGAGGATCGAAGAATAAATGTGCAGTTTTAGGATTAAAAATGATAGCGCTATTAATTATGTACACATTACATATATTTTACTACTGAGAGATTTTCGGAGTAAACATGGGAAAGACTCTCATGTTTCTGGGAGGATTTTTCATCGAAAAAGGGTTCTTGATGTATCCTCTCGGATGTCGGTGTTATTACTAAGATAATTACATTTAGAAAGAATGAATTTACGAATTCCAAGTGAGATTACTATGAGTTCCAAAAGCCGTGGTCTATGTAATTTTTGTTCTACATACTTCTTCAATTATTAACCCTAGACTGGTCACCATGCGAGAGAATTGCCGCAACACGTCGTTTTATTCACCTTGCCATCGACTGATTGACCGAAAAAATTTGAGAAAAATTGAATTTGTCAATTGAAGTATCTCGAAAATTCTAGTATTTTTTTTTCAATATTGTATCCTTAATTCTGGGAGAAAATTTTTTTTTTCCAACAGATGAACAATTTTTTCCCGTGTTAAATGAAATTGCCTGTTGCGCGACGTTGCTGGGAACTCGCTAAGCGCGCCCGGGAAGTGTAGAGTGGATTCGGTAACGCTGGAGCCTAAATAACATGGCAGCACTTTCA